TTCCTACAATTGTAGGGCGCGTTTATGGCCTCCTTGATTGTCATAGTTTTCTACTTTTCCCTGTCAGCACTCTATTTCGAGGTTATGTCACAAATATCTATTTGCATCAAATTGTGCATGCTTTTGATTAATATCATGTTTTATCAGCCTGAAATTTCCTACAATTTAAAAAGAAAACATATCTTCACAATAGGAGAGCGCTGACGCTGACACAGAACAGGTGCAATCTAGAAATTTTTTAAGGAGAGAAAGCAGTATGACAAACAAGGAGGCCATAAACGCGCCCTACAATTGTAGGGACGACTGACGATACAGGCCTAAGTCCTTTAGATTACGTTCTTTGGGGGCATTTGAAAAATAAAGTTTTTAGTACGGAGCCAGCTTCCAATCAAGATCTTCTCAACGGATTACGGCTGAATGTCGACAAATAAATCAAGACATGCCTTGAAAATGTGAGGAATAGATTCGAACAAAATATTTATTATTGCATGAAGGTAAATGGACACCACTTTCATCGGTTATTACCACATTGACCTACCTAATTTCTATTTTAACTTTAATGTCCGTATAAACTGTAAGTTATTTTTTGTTTTTTAATACTTGGAGACTTGTTTTTAATTTTAAAGTAAAGTCTTAATACTATGGGAACTATATTGATCATTATTTTTACTATATAATCCCTTATCACAATTTCTAGAATTTCACTATAAACTCAAACAGCTTGACAACGATTCAAGATAGATATAAACTTTATTAATATGTTACTAAAAATTTCATAGAGAATCTAAAAATTCAAAAAAGAGGGTTTCCATTGATGGTATGGTTGTAACGGATTAAACAGCCGGGCAGTAGCTCCTGCAATGCTCCCATTTTGGTAATACAGTTTTGTTATTTCTACCCTTTCTTAAGATGAATAAGTCATTGTTCAATATTTATTATAACTAGGTAGGTAACTTAACAATTTAAAATGAATGACAAAGTTTTTCTATGACATACGATGATTGATGTTAATGTTTTTGCTGGTATCTATGATTATTTTTTGCCGTGCATTCATTACTATCAGTACTTAGTCGAATTTTAGCAACTTAGCCACATACTTATCGTTAATATTTTTGTCTGGATGTAACGCATTAAACAACCGGGCAGTAGCTTTTGCAATGCTACCATTTTGGTAATACAGTTTTGTTATTTCTACCCTTTCTTAAGATGAATAAGTGATTGTTCAATATTTATCACAAGTAGGTAGGTAGCTTAACAATTTGAAATGAAAGACAAAGTTTTTCTATGACATACGATGACACTGACTGATGCTAAATATTCTTGCTGGTATCCATGATTATTAATTTTTGCCGTGTATAAGTCGAATGCACCTTGCACCCTACTGAGTGGGGGCCGTGGCAAATGCTTGTTCCGAAAGTTGTTGTATCCAGTATACAACTTCTTCCCGTTCAAGTGATTGTCCACACGTTAAGGAATACCTCAGTACCGATTGCCGGGTGGCGGTACAAGTCCGCCAACGGGCCACTTTAGGTCTATTTAACATCACCAACACGTAAAAAGAAGGTGGTAGACAAGGACCAGTCGACCGAGGCAGTACCACCCGCTAGCTTTTCCCAGGGTGTCTTATAAATGTCCGCATGTTTCCACACCTCAACTATGCAGTCGGTTATCCTCCAAAACAAAGAAATTAATGATGATGGATCCCTCGAGCACTAAGAGCTCCGGACGTAAACTCACTCCACTGTCGGAATGTCCGGGTGGAGGGTGGGCTCGAGGGAACAACATCGAAGATAAAATTTGTTTTTCGAACATCTGCGGGATTAACAGCAACATTGATGCTGTCCATCACTACCTGCAATCCAATCGTTCCGCCGTGCTTTTCTTGGCGGAGACTAAAATCTCAGAGTCTGCACCGATTAACCATCTTAACTTCCCAAACTACGAGGTGCACTCCAATCTGAGAAAGAACGGGGGAGTTGTGGCTTTTGTCCGCAGCAGTCTTTCCTGCTCCAGAGATGTTTCTTTGGAATCAGATCGGAAGGACATTCTGTGGCTTCGCCTCAACTCCAAAACATAACCCAAATTTATTTACTGCCTTTATCGCTCTCCCTCGGACCATAACTGGGATGACCTACTCGAATACCTCGCCGTCCAGATCGACTTCCTGAACATCAATCATCCCGCTTCAGAGGTAGTTCTTCTCGGTGATTTCAATGCCCGTAATGCGCTTTGGTTGGGCTCAAACAAGACCGACGCAGCAGGTCGTGCAGTCGAAGCGTTCGCTCTTACCCCAAGGGCTGACTCAGCTGGTGACGAGCCCTACTTTTTCCCCCGCATCTCGTCACACGCCAGTAGCCTGCTTTTTGACCACGCATCCTGTCCCTTACAGCACTGCTGTCCTGTCACCCCTGGGTAACTCAGACCACGGTGTTGTGGAGGTTAGGTTTCGGTCAGAACCCGCTGTGGCATCAGAAACTCGTACAGGCCGCAAAACTTGGTATTACGGACATGCCGACTGGGAGGGGTTCAGAGATTTCTTCTCTAGCTATCCTTGGAAAGATGAGTGTTTCACTGACGCGGATGCGTCGGCTGTCTGTTCTTCGATAACCGAAATTATCCACGTCGGAATGGAGGAATACATCGCTCACACAGTGAAAGTGCCTAGACCAGGGTCCAACGTCTGGTTTAACACATCGTGTGACGCTACTCGCCAGCAGATCAAGGTACACAGAACCTTCTTACAAAACCCCACTGTAGAGAACAGACAAGCCGACGTTGAGTCCAGAAACAAATATAACGAAGAGGTTCGCAATGCCAAAAACCAGCACTATATAAAAGTTAGACATAGGGTAATGTCGCAGCGCAATGGCAGTCGGTCTTTCTGGACGCTGGCCAAGCAGATCGAAAAGAACTTCTCACACAGTAGCCTTCCGCCACTTACGTGTCAGGATGGAACCATTGTATTCAAGTGCCGTCAATTCAAAGGGTTCCCTACACTATGCGGGAGGTAACATTCAGGCATAAGACCGTAAGACGAGTACTCTTGTCGCTCGACATCAACAAAGCTTCTGGTCCGGACTTGACTCCTGCCATTGTACTGAAGAGGTGTGCACCGCAGCTTGCTCCAGTTCTTTCGCGCCTCTTCCAGATATCTTATGAATGCGGCACCTTCTCAGAAAATTGGAAATTTGCTCATGTCCAACCCATCCCAAAAAAGGGCACTAAGACCGACCCTTACAACTACAGGCCTATAGCTCTGCTTTCTGTTTTAAGTAAAGTGATGGAGAGGTGCATTTATCGCGAGCTTCTGGACTACCTCGAACGTCACGGCTTGATTAGCGACAGGCAGTATGGTTTCCGGCACCACCGATCCACAGGGGACCTCCTAGCTTACTCACTCAATTGTAGAGTAAACTCATCCAGTCTTATGGTGAGGATCATGTCGTTGCTCTTGACATCACGAAAGCGTTCGATCAGCTGTAGCACGCTGCCCTCTTAAGCAAACTTCCATCCTATGGCCTCCCAGAAAAGCTTTGCAGATGGGTGGCTGACTTTATCTCTGGCCGCAAGATATCCGTCGTAATTGACGGGTTCTTCTCTTCATCCGACAACGTCAACGCGGGTGTTCTCCAGGGATCCGCTTGGCTCCGACACTGTTTCTCTTACATATCAGCGACCTCCTTTCCTGCACGATCAACCCAATCCACAGTTTCGCTGATGACAGCACTCTACATGCAGGAATTCAGAGTGACAAGCCGATCTCTGCCGCTCAGCTGGAAAAAAGAAGACTAGCGAGGACTTCCTCTCTGACAAGAGACCTGGAGGTTATCACTGCTTGTGGACACAACAATCTTGTACTCAATGCTTCCAAAACACCGTACTGTATTTTGACGAACAAAAAGCGTCCTTGCGCTCACCCGGTTTCGATGGATGGTCGAGTTCTGCCAAAGAGCCATTCATTTCGGCTGGTCGGAGTCCAGATCACCGAGGACCTGATCTGGCACGAACACATCTCGTCAATAGCTGCAGCCGCTGGGAAAAAGCTAGGCTATTTGTTTAGGGCTAAGAAGTACTATTCTCCGCATGACCTTCTCCTCTATACAAGGCCCAGATACGAGTATTGCTCAAATGATGATCGATGACTCTTCTCTAACAGACAGTCTCGGGACTCTTTCGCACCGGCGGGCTGTCGGCGATCTAGCTCTTTTCTACCGTTACACCAACGGGCTTTGCTCCTCAGAGCTCTCTTCCATGATGCCGCCGCGCGATGTGCCTGCCAGACAGACTCGTCTGACTTTGGCGTCCCATCCTAACCGTATCGAACTTCGTACATCCAGAACCGGCCGATACGACCGCTCCTTTGTCCCGAGGGTGTCGAGATTGTGGAACAATCCACAAGAGGAAGCTTTTTCCAGTTCTATTATCCTTAGGCAGTTCAAAAATCGTATTAATAAAATTTCTTTGGGATCATCATAGCAGCCGCGGTGTTCCGGCATTTGGGCTTCTGCCTGCGCGGCTGCTTCGATATGAAAAAAAATTATTATAAACTTAAATAGCTTCACAACGATTGAAGATAGGTATAAACTTTATTATAGTTACTAGTAGTTACTAAAACGGAAAATCTAAAAATTAAACAGAAGTGGGGGTTTCCTTTCAAAAATCTAAAGAATAACGTAATATCTTATTTTTGTACCACCCTGTATTGACGTGTCTGAGCGTTTTTCCCTAAATATACCAGGAGAGTCACAATGGGAGTGCGATATTTTATTGGACCACCCTGTCTGTATTTTGAAATGGCGGAACCAGACTGTCACAATAAAACAGTACTAAAACAACATGTTTTCCTCAAAAAAACTCACGTATTTTTTAGATCACAGTGATCCGAATTTTACGAAAACGGATAATAGTTGCAACATCGTATATATTTTATACAAAAAAAAACACTATGCAAATTCCGGGAAAGCGCTACATTGTGGTAACTAAATTTCTAATATACTTACTCTAAATCTTGTACACTAGTGAAACTCTCTGCTGTATCAAAGTCGAGGGTTTTAGGTTGATTTATGAAGAGTCGTATATTTTTTGGGCCCTTATCAGCTGGTGCTGTAACCTTAATGCTATGGATCTTCACAGCTTGATTGAATTCAATATTAATTATGAGCTGAAAGCAAGTATAAAGTGAAAATTGTAGCAGATTGAATGAACGTTATAGTTTGAATTATTTATAACGCGTCGGCTTTACATTTTACAATTCAGTACGGAATGCTTGGGGAATTTTATACAAGGTGTTTCAGAAAGACATGAATATATTTCTAGGGTAGAAAGTACACCCAAAAATAACAAAAAAGTTCCTACAAATATGGGTGCAGAAACTGCCCTACCGAGATACAGGGAGCCGTAGTCATAACAACCATGTATGGACGTAATATTACTCATAAACAAATACATTTTGGGAAAATCTATTAATGGGATGTTATACATGACATTTTAGGGCACATTTCTAAAATATTGGCCATTATACAGGGTGTCCCAATTTTGACCTACATATGGAAGTTGTGATTTTTCAAATGGAATGCCTCAAATTTTATTGCATATTTGGATAAACCAATTCAAAAGAAGAAAATTCATATGACATACTATGGAGTTTTGGTAATTAGCTACTGAGATATAAGGTGTTTTGTCTAGAAAAACCCCCCACTTCGGCAACCCCTCAGACCGCCATTTTGAAATTTGTAGTGCTGAATTTTGTATCAAAAAAAACTTTCACACCTCAGCTTTTATCTTATTTGTTACTTTTTTGAATTTTAATTTTTGCTCATACAGGGTGGTCAAAAACGCAAACTGTAGTTTTTCTCAAAAATTTCAAGTGAATCGTCCTGTATATTTGAGCAAATTTTGATTCAATTTTTATAAGCTTTTTTCTGATACTAGACACATAAGGGTTTTTATAGCTATTTTTACGGCTTAATTGCCTAAAATATGGCATCATCCTTGGAAACAAATAAATTCTTGATTAGTTACAAACCGTCAACATTAGCTTTGTGAGCAATATAATAAAAACGTGTTTAAAAATGAATTTTTCTAAAGAAGAAATGGTGAATATGGTGTTCGTTTTGGGCGACGCCCAAAGAAATAGTTTCCTAGCATCTCGCATTTATAAGCAACGGTACCCTAATATGCGACATCCAAGGCCGGAAACATTTTCCACACTATGAGAACGTTTTGAATCAAGTGGAACAGTGGAATATAGTAAAAAATGTATAAATAATCCAAGTGTCAACAATGAGGCGAATCAGTTGGAGGTTCTATTAAAGATGCAGGAAAATCCCCACTTAAGTGCACGACAAATTGGAGCAGAAGCTGATATATATCGAAATTCTGTCCAGAGGATTATTCACAAGCATAAGTACCATCCATATCACCTATGCTTGCATCAAGGCCTTTGTCCTCAGGATTTCGCAGCTCGAATGGAGTTTAGTAGAATAATCCTAAATAAAGTGAGTGAAGACACTTTCCTTGATATAGTTCTTTTTAGCGATGAGGCAACTTTTAATAGCATATGTATTGTCAACAGGCATAACATGCACTATTATGCGACGGAAAACCCTTACTGGGTTAGGCAAATAGATTTCATAAACAAATAGACCTTGAACGTTTGGGAAGGAGTTATTGGCAGACAATTTATCGGGCCTTTCTTTTTCGACAACATATTAACAGGTACAGAATACTTGCATTTTTGGATCGAGCATTTGCCTTTACTTCCAACATGACGGCGCACCTGCGCATTATCATAATCGTGTGCGTAACTATTTGGACACCTGGAGTAACAATCGTTGGATTGGTCGTGATGGGCCTATATCTTGGCTTTCTAGATCACCAGATATGACACCGATGGACTTCTTTCTATGGGGCTACGTTAAGCAAGAGGTTTACAGATATCCACAATCTACCCCGGAAAATATAAAGGAAAGGATTCAGGATGCTTTTCTGAACATAAGGGAACACATGCTGAGGGATGTGCAACGGTCATTTATCCAAAGACCTCGGCTGTGTATTCAACATGGTGGAGATCTTTCGCTCAGTTTTTGTATATTAGGTCTTGAGTAGTGGTAGTTGTTTGTTTACCTTGTTATAGTTGTTTTTCTCTATTACGCTTGAAGCTGATTTATACTGCTCTGATTGTTATTAGTTTTTACGTCAAATCTGTACTCTTAGTGGCAATATGGAACTAACCCACTGTTTGTCTTTTGTTTCCATGGATGATGTAATTTTTTTCCTTAATTTTGGTGTATTGTTCTATTAAAAGCTTAATAACTCAAATCTAGTGATTTTATCTGAATCAAACCTTATACCAAAAAACGCTTATAGAAGATTGAATCCAAACTTGCACAAATATACAGTGTGATTTGAAATTTTTGAGAAAAAGTACAATTCGCGTTTTTGATCACCCTGTATGAGCAAAAATGAAAATTCACACCTTACATCTCAGTAGCTAATTACCAAAACCCCATAGTATGTTATATCAATCTTCTTCTTTTGAATTGGTTTATCCAAATATGCAATACAATTTGAGGCATTCCATTTAAAAAATCACAACTTTGATATGTAGGTCAAAATTGGGACACCCCCAATATTTTATAAATGTGCCCTCAAATGTCATGTATAACATGCCATAAATAGATTTTCCCAAAATGTATTTTTTATGAGTAATATTCCGTCCACACATGGATGGGCCACCCTATATACAGGATGTAAAGTTAGTAGTGGATTAACGGAAGTAGAGGGTCTCAAAACCTATCAAATGAACCCCTATATGTGTGGTCCGAAATTTTATACCTTAGGAGATATTTGCAATTTTGTGAAATTTCGAAAAAAAAATGGGATAATTAACTTTCAAGCGCAATTACAACTAAACCATTAGGTTTAGGGCTGTGACTTTTTTTTTGAGATGAGCTAATTGGTTAGTTTTAGAAACCAACGCAAAAAATCTTTTTTGTAAAAAATCTCTTCCATCCCTCAACTTTAGAGGGCGGTAAAAAAATGAGGTTGTATTTCATTATTCATTTTATTGTATAAACTATTCATATTCAATCCATGTATAATAAACCCTGAAAATTTTAGCTTACTACAATAATTGCCTCACGTTAAAAAATCGGTATGTTTGACGCAGGTGGGTGTAAACGAGAAATTCTATTTTAAGAGCTACAGTCCAACCGACTTGATGGATTTTGATATATGAGGTACTGTGAGATTCGTCCTAGCAGTGCGAGTAACACTGTTTGTAAAATTGAAATGGCGGATTTTTTACGCAAATAGCCAAATCAGCTTAATGAGCTTGGGCATTCAACTCGGCATTCCAGGTGCGGGAGCGTTCAATCTTCGGTCCGACCGAAATTACTAAGTCAGGCAATGGTGCAGCGCGGAATTTGATCTAGCGTTTGGCATGTGAGTAGAATCATGTCATTTTCTCCGCGAGATTGTGCAGACATGCATTACTATTATGGCGCTGCCCTAAGAAATGCTGTTAGAAGAGGTGGACCACATTCGGCGGTATATCCCGACTACCGCGTTTTTCTACGCGCCCATAATGCGTATATGGAGGGCCGCATACTAGGCACTCATCGTCAGCTAGGAGCGCCGAGGATACGCCCAGAAGAAATAGAAGATATAATAGAAGCCGCCGAGAGAGATCCCTCTATAAGCACCAGAGCCATTGCCCGAAGCAAAAACATATCCCATACTTCAGTGCAAACAATACTACGCTCGGAGAACATGCAACCTTACCATGTACAAAAAGTGCAAGAATTGCTTCCAAGCAACTATGCATAACGAGATCAATTTTGTGACGATATGTTGAGAAGGTGCGAAGAGCATGAATATTTTTTCGACAGCATCTTATAGATATAGACACATGAATCCAACTTTAACCGAAATGGAATATTCAACATGCGCAATTTCCATTCATGGAGCGTGGAAAATCCACACGCTATTCGCCGACACAGCTTTCAACTTATAGGCTGGAGTACTCAAGAAAAAATTAATTGGATCATATGAATTGCCCGCCATGTTAAATGATCAGTCATATTTTGCTTTTCTACAAAGCAATTTGCATGAGCTGCTACAGGATGTACCTTTGGATGTCCGATTTATTATTATTATTTCCAATGCGATGGTGCCCCATTCCACTTTGCACGGAATGTACGTCATTACTTAGAAAGTGCCTTTCCTAGGCGTTGGATGAGTAGAGGTGGACACACGATGGCCTCCAAGGTCACCCGACTTAAATCCTCTAATCTTTTTTATATGGAGATTTTATAAGGGGATAATCTATACATCTGATTATACAAATGTCAACCAACTGCGCCAGAAAATTGATGAAGCAAAAATAAAAATTACGGAAAACGCCAATTCATTTCAAAAACTAAAGGACAATTTTATTAAAAGGTGTCGCTTGTGTATAGAAAATAATGGAGGCAATGTCAAACATGTTCTTTAAAAGTTAGTTAAATTAAATTATGTTCCACATTTGTTGGTAAATCGCCATAAAGAGCGGCTAAGCACAATAGGGTCTGTACTTGTAGGTGGTAAGGATTCTATTGCGTTTCTTACGTTTATAGTATCACAACAACGAATGTGACATGATACACTCATCGAAGTAAGCTGACATTTTCAGGGTTTATTCTACATGGATAGAAATAGTTTTTCCAATAAAATGAATAATGAAATACAATATCGACTTTTTTACCGCCCTCCAAAGTTGAGGGATGGAAGAGATTTTTCACAAAAAAAATGAATTTAAGATTTTTCGCGTTGATTTCTAATAAGCTCGGTTGTGACATAACCATTGCTAAAACACAGCTCTAAACCTAATGGTTTAGTTGTAACTGCGATTGAAAGTTCATTATCCCGTTTTTTTTTTCGAAATTTCACAAAATTGCAAATATCTCCTGAACTATAAAATTTCGGACCACACACACATATATGGGTTCATTCGATAGGTTTGATCCGTTGATCCACTACTAACTTTACATCCTGTATATATACAGGGTGTAATTTAATTGATGGCTAAACATACAGGATATGATTCCTCAGCTCATTTTAGGAAAAAAAGTTTATATGAACATATGTCCTAAACCTCAACTTTTGCGCTATAGGGTGTTAAAATGTCAAGGAAAAATTCTTATCATAACTTTAATACTGTTCTAGATATTTTTAAGAAATTGACATGCGCCAATAGGCACTTTTTTATGTAGAATATTTATATATATTATAATATTTCTACTAGCGACGTCCGTACGGGATGGATACTGGAGGCTTTTCGAAAAAATTTGGTACGCCATTGCTTTTTCCAAGGCAAATTTGACCTCTTGACTTTTTTCCGCCCGATGCACCGTTTTCGCGTAAACAATAAAAACCATTTTGGCTATTTTAATCAATTGACTTTACTTGAATAATAATTAAACAAAAACACATTTTACCTACAAACTTCCATATGAGATTTCAGCGATTTTGCAATGCATGAAAACTAAAAAAAGTTTGTACTAAGTTTTGTTTTCTAAATAAGAAAATGGGAAACAATAAGTATTACCACAATTGTCCTAGTACTTGTTTCTCGATGTTCCTCAATTGTGTTTAGAACAGCTTCCTTTAATTCTGCTGTTCTCACCGAGCGATGTGCCCCTTTGGAAGTACTGTCAATGCTAAGACTCCCAGTTTCATGTAGTCTTCTGTGTATTCTAGAAAACATTCTGGCATCGGGAATGATACGATTTGGATACCGCTCTTGATACATCCGCCTTGCCATAAGCGCATTTCCGTCAGCAAGTCCGTAGGTAAAATGCAAATCTGCTAAGTCTGAATTTGTAAACCTTGACATATTTTACTTATTTTCTCTTTATTATTGATTAAAAAAACTTTCACAATCTAAAAAACTATCACGTTTATGAATACTTGTCAAAATAAGACCGCAACGTAATCGATCAAATGTCATTAAAATAATTTCGTTATACCACAAATGCATGAAAATGGTCTTCAAATGTATTGCAAAGAAATGAGGATTTCCAAAAATAATATATTTTTTAAAAGGACATATGTTCATATAACATTTTCTTCCTAAAATGAGATAAGGAATCATATCCTGCAGTGTTAGCCATCAATTAAATTACACCCTGTATATTATATCTTATATCTAATTGCTTGGGTTGAAAGGGTGTAGTTATGAATCACCCTGTAGAAATAAAAATATCTTCCAAGGATCATATTGTTCGACATAGTTTTAAATATTTAATAAATGCCTTGGATGTGGATGACTGATAAATGCAAAGACATACATACTTGTTCATCACAGTCAGACTGAAGATATCCCCCACCAGATGAGAGACAATGTGTAAAAGGATGTTCATCACTTTCGTTCAAACATTCACTTTGGGGCTTCGTTATAAATGGTGTCAGATCAGCCTAGAAAAAAGCGTATAGCTAATATTTTCCAAATCGAAAACAAAACACTTTCAAAGCAAGTGTCAAGCGCTCACGTGCTGACCGTTCTTAGTAGAGTTTAAATGTCAGTTGTCATATCCCCTCGATCAAGATACGACCTACGTAAAAAGTGGCAAAAAATATGACAACTAGTCATCCGTATAGATGAAGAATAAGCAGTCAATTATGTGCTGCAGTGGTTTCTATTTTTTATTGTAAATATCTACAGGAAAGCATATGATAGTTTCGAAGCTTCCTAAAACGTTATATTATGTCTGAGGCCAGAGAAGTTAATTCTCAAACAGCTTCTATCAATGCCAGGTTATCTCAAAAACCGCAGTTAACTTTAATCAGAAAATTATCTGCGAAACAACTAGGCAGTTGTAGTTAAACCCCGCTAACCTTTTTGGCTTGACAGTAACATGAGTTTTCGCGGAAGGCATAAGGCACAAACATCGAGCGTCACCAAACACACACACACACACATATTATGACAGTTCAAACGTAGAAGCAGGGTCGCCAGATCAACAGTTACGGGTTAGTTAACCAGAACTTAAAACGAATTTAAGAAGAACTAATAGTTAACTTTGAAGTTATAGCTACCAGACTTGAAAGTTTGCCAGTGATTAAAAAACCGGGCCTTAGTGTATGTCTTGAGCGATAACATCAAGATTGATATTTCAAATATGAAATTATTTATCCATGCTACTTTCAGGTACATTAACGAGATAACGACGGCAATATCTACGAGGCAGAAGACAAGCAGTTTATTGTCAAAAGCACTTCCGCTTCTAACATACAAAAGATGATTTTTGTAACGTAACTCAATAATTACCTGCCTGTATGAAAGTTGAGTAAATTTGTGTCCCGGTAATATTAATATACTTATATTAAACATATCTGATATTAATTCCTACAGCCGTTCAATATAAACATGTTTTTTCTTTGTCAGTCACCGTTTTACTAAATACACTCAGTTACAAAATAAACACAACAAGCAAAATTTTGGATAAATTTGGAACGTGATAACTTTTTACTTTTACGAGGGATGTCTTTTAAGTTTTGCATATAGAAACATAGTAGGCCGCGCGGATCGAACGTCAGTAATGAATCTTAACCTCACTCTTTAGTGAACTTAAATTCAAAGTTTCACAACAATACGTGCAGTGCTCTCACTACAGTGAATTTTTAAGTGTCACCAAGTCATTAGAAAAATCACAACTTTCAGAGACAATTATCGCAACAAGAATGCCTTTCTGAGTTACTGTCTATTTTCGGCAACGAAGCGCCACATCAGTCGACAATTTCCCGTTGATATAGAGAATTCAAACGTGGACGGGTGAGTCTTAGGCCCGTATCGTCAGTCGTCCCTACAATTGTAGGGCGCCTTTATGACCTCCTTGATTGTCATAGTTTTCTACTTCTCCGTGTCAGAACTCTATTTTGAGGTTATGTCACAAACATCTATTTGCATCAAATTGTGCTTGCTTTTGAGTTATATCATGTTTTATCAGCCTGAAATTTCCTACAATTTCAAAAAGAAAAATCTGACCGTTTCAATTCCGGAAACTCAAAAAATGTGTACAGTATTGTTAGTGGTAATGAATCGTGGATTAACTGTTATGAACCAGAAAATAAACGACAGTCGGCTGTTTGGGTGTTCCAAGGTGAAGAAAAGCCAACAAAAGCATCCATTCTAGAAGTGTTTCGAAAAAGATGGTCGCGACATTTGTGTCAAAAGCGGGTCATATTGCAAAAATTCCTCTTAATGAGCAAAGAACTGTTACTGCGGATTGGTATGCCACCATTTGTTTGCCAAAAGTCATCACCGAGCTTTGAAAAATCAACCCCGAAAGAAGAATCATCCTCCACCACTACAATGCAAGCTCGCACAGAGCCCAAAAAACAAGGCAGTATTTAACGGAAGAAAATGCGGAATTATTGGACCATCCTCCATATAGTCCCGATCTAAGTTGTAACGATTTCTTTACTTTCCCGAAAATTAAAAACAGACTGCATGGTCAAAGGTTCCAGAAGAAGCAGTTGACGCATTCAAAAATACCGTTTTGGATCTGGCAGCAAACGAGTGGAATAAGTGCTTCGAAAATTGGTTCGAGCGCATGCATGTGTATTAATCTTCGTGGAGAATACTTCGAAAAACAATAAAGTCATTTAAAACTACCTACAGTGTTGTTTTATTTTTATATGCAAAACTTAAAAGACATCCCTCGTAACCCGATTTTACTAATTACTTGTTCGGCAGAAGGTAGGTACACTCATTGGCTTTGATTTAGATATGATTTCTTAATTGTAGCCACGGTTTGCCTTGTTGAACAGGGTAAATCAAAATGATGTTTCATAACACCAACTTTCAGGGACTCTGTGGCGTGGCTCCAGTTGCCAACTAGACCGGAACGCTTTCCATTAGCAAGAACCACATTTTATCTATAATCTGATGTTTTTATTCACATCAATATCTACATAGTGGCCAACTAAGAATGCGAGGTACTGTACCTGGGAACCAATCCATCGTAGAGGCTTGCGGTAAAAAAAGTTCTTACTAAAACGGCCAAGAGAAAAACCTGGAAAATATTTTCAAGTTTCTGAAATCTTGAATCTAAAAAAGTGATATTTCTGTGAATTCCGCTATATTAAGCTAACAAAAAATTCCTGATCTTCAAAGTCGAGGATAATGTGAACTTTTTTTATTTGAAAATCTTTACTGAATCTCTAAAAATTAAGTGGTGGGGGGTATTCAAAGGTTTACGTAAAGAACACCCTGTATCTTTGAAACGGCTGAGCCGATTTTAACAACTTGGGCTAGTTGAAAAATGGCTACAAATGTTATAATACCTATATGAAGTTTTGTTAGTTTCACCTGTGACCGCTAGAAGGCTGTTTACGATATTCCGACAGAAAAGGTTAAAAATTAAATGCATTGGTGTGTTTTTTTTATGAAAAAGTAACTAAATGATGTATAAACAAGCACGCAGGATGGTCCTACCATCTAACTTGAAAGTCTTATCGATAGTACTCTGCGAGTTTCTGTCATGTGTGAAAGCTATTAGTTCGATTTATTTACTGAAAAGTTCACCCACCAATCCAACACTCACCAAGACGTCGGTCACCAAAAACCAGCAAGTAAGTGGAAGTCCCTACATTTCTAAACGTAAACAAACACCGGTGCGGTACGGTCAGCCGTACTGCACCTAGATCCATGCGGAGTTCGAGCAGTACCGCCAGGGGCGGCTCCAGAATTTCTCAACCAGTCTCGCACTAAAACTATCTCAATCTGATAATAATAGAAAAAGTACAACTACTTCATCATCATACTCCAGCAGCCTGTCAGCAAAACACCATCAAAAAAAAAATCCTTTATTGCAATTGACTGGATTGTAGGGCCCAAAAATATACTGTTCGCACCAAGAATTGCTAACGGCCGAAGAATCTGTATGTATCTGAGTAACACTGATAGCGTGGACAAAATAATCACTGAACACAGATCCATAAAGATCCAACACTACGACATAGAAATAAGACGACTTGTTACACCTGCTCAAAGGCTAGTTATTTCAAATGTCTGCCCGTCTGAGCCAAACTTACCTACGAGTTGGAATGCCGGAAAATGTATACAATCACATTCTCAGTTTTCGTCGACAAGTGTATATTGCACCAAATGTTAGCGAAATCATAGAGACTACCACTATTACCTTTGAGGAAAATACATACAGGATATTTTTCTCCGTAGACGGACCAAGCTGTACTCTTTGCAAGCAAACGGGACATACAGTGGAAAAATGCCCCAAATCACAAACCAGAAATGAAGACGCCGAAACAAGAATGGAATTACACTCATCTAATGTACATAACAAAACTAATACATTGAGCTTAAACATGACTGCAACCATATAAGACAACTCTGCATCAGAAGAAACTCGACCTAAACGACAAATCTCAACATCCCCCGTATCTACTAACACCCAGCCTACCTTAACTGAAGCCCCCACTAAGGGAATCAAAACATCAAAAGTTTCTGAAGAATCCTTGGAACCCGCCGAGGAACTCATAAACTCACGGTTTACGTCAACCAAGCTAAACGTATCAGAGGTAGCGTACATCATAGAAAATACATATAAATCCAAAGATATAATAGCAACGTTTAGAAACTACACAAATATCATACCTGATATGAATCAATTTTTGGCTGAACTATACTCACATTTAAAGGATAGGAACACAAAAATAAAAATTAAAAAAATCAGAAAGAAAATAGGGAAACATCTAGAAAACCTATAATCCAAAAACAGTGAAGAAAAGGATCTAGAAACATCCGATGGCGAAGTCTCGGGATCCTCTTTTTCAACATACTAGATTTTTTCATGTTTCTAATTCAGTGGAACCTGAACGGGTACTATACCCATAAAGAAATGCTCAACTTACTAATACGTGAAAATAATCCAAAATTAATCTGTCTGCAAGAAACCCACCTCAAGAATAATAATCACAGCCACACACTCAAAAACTACTCTAGCTTTTACAAAAATAGACCAAATCAGGGTAGAGCAGTAGGAGGAGTAGTAATATTCACCAAAACCTCCATACAAGCATAAAGACTCCCTTACAGATCTGGAAGCTGTTGCCGTTTCGATCACATACCACACAACCATACATATCTGTAATATATACATACCACACCCAAAAGATATAGACTTGATCGCAATAGAGTCTTTGCTGCTACAAATTCCCACCCCCAGAATCATAATAGGAAATTTTAATTGTCATAATATATGCTGGGGATCAGACTTCTCTGAAAGATACGGCATGGACCTAGAAAACATTCACTAGGTTCAATGCTCTCAATGGGAAATTCTCGTCCATTGATTTATCTTTCTGTGACCCTTCTTTAGCCCCTTTTCTCCACTGGAACTCCCTATCTGACCTCTATGATAGTGACCACTAAACTATAACTATTTACCGTAGTAAAGATGATGCTTCTTGTGCATCCACTACACAAAGATGGAAGTTGAATAAAGCTGTTTGGGATAAATACCAACAGAAGGTTGAACAACGCTTACCATTACTTGCCAGCTGTGAAGACGTCTATATCGAGATCAACAGCCTGATTCACGTTATAAAAGATGCCGCTCACATTGCCGTAGGAAAAACGAAAACCTGTAACAGGCTACCAGTCCCACGGTGGAATCAACAAGTCTCTAATGCAATAGCCACCTGCAAACATTGTTTCAATGTCCTCAAGAAACATAACACAGCCGAAAATGTGCGAAAATTTAAACAAGGTAGAGCGAGCAAAAGCCAGATATCATATCAAGAAAATCAAGAAAGAACCCTGGCAAAGCTATGTATCCACTATTAACTCGTCTACACCTGCATCGCAAAACTGGAATAAAACCAACATCATCAGTGGATCAAAAACAAGCGACGAAATAACTTCCATAAAATACAATAACCAAGTAGTATCTGACAAATCAGCTATCCCAGAAATCTTTACCGACGTCTACTCAGCACACTCTAACGAAATCAACTACAGCCCTTGTCTTCTCCAGTACAAGTCACAGATTGAAGGAGATACTATCACCGTACCAAACGATAACAGTCCAATAAACAGCCTTATTGCAATAGAAGAACTGGAAGAAGGCACTAAGAACATCAAGAAGTAAATACATCTCCAGGTCGTGACGATATTCCATACTCTTTCTTGAAACACCTACCCTTGACGGCAAAATCAATCTTGATAGATATGTACAATAAGATTCTGGTGACCCGACAATTCCCTGACGTCTGTTATGGTTTTTAGAAAAACAAACAAATTAACAACTGACAAAATGGTTTCCGAAGCAACAGGTCTACGACAGATAACACTGTAGTACTGGAATCCACCATCAAACAAGCATTCGCAAACAACCACAATGTTATAGCTGTATTCTTCGATATAGACAAAGCTTACGACACCACCTGGCGATATCTTATTATAAAATCCGCGATTGAGATGGGAATCTAATGGCATCTCTTAGGTTTCATACAAAACGTTCTGAGTAACCGCACCACGAGGGTGAGAGCCAACAGAAAGATGTCCAACGAAAGAACATTAGCAAATGGAATACCGCAGGGTTGCGTGTTAAGCGTCACACTTTTTTTAATAACGATCAATGGATTAATTGAACTATTTAAGACCCCAGTAAAGGCACTGATGTACGCAGATGACTTAGTTATATACTTACCAACGAATAACTTACCCACAGGACAAAGCATCATACAACAATCAATCAATAAAATGGACAGCTGTGCAGCTACAACAGGTTTTCGTTTCTCCAGCGATAAGACCAAATACCTTATATTTAGCAAATCTAGACGCACCACTGACAATATCGTACTCTCTCTAAACAGCACCAGAATTCAGAAAGTTGATAGTATAGTTTTTCTTGGGATGACACTTGATTCGAAACTGAAGTGGGATCTACATATAACAAAATTAATAACATCGTGTCAAAAACGTTTGAATCTTATTAAAGTCTTAGCAAATACTTTTTGGGGAAGTGACTTCTGATCACTAATGAGAGTGTATCGCGCTATAATAAGAAGCAAAATTGACTATGGGAGTATATGCTATACAACCGCAAGTAAAAGAACTTCACCGGTGAAAAGCATCCATGCCCTAGCCCTAGCTAATGAGTCCCCGTTACACCTTCGAAAAGAATACCTTGCTCTACGCTATGCCGTCAAAATTTCAAGCCTACCAGATAATCCTGCTCACTAGATTACTGTCAAGTGTTCTTCCAGAGGATTATACAGCAACTACAAAGACGTATTATTCGCACCGACTTCAACCTAAACAATCTTCAGCACACGTACTCATATTCGTTATATTCTCCCCCATGGACAATGCGCCTACCCGATATCAATACATCACTGAACTGTTACACCAAAAGGGAAACCAATCATATAGTCATCCAAATTAAATACCGAGAATTAATTGAACACTACAAAAAGCATTTGTTCATCTTTACAAGTCGCTAAACGGAGTGGGATGTGCAGGAATTCAAGAAAACAACAATAAAAGAGCATCTCTTCCTCATCACAGTAGCATCTTTACCGGAGAACTCAAGTTAGCCCTAACCATCGCAGAGGCAACCGCAACATGGAATAGACTTATTCTGTCCGACTCCATGAGTGCACTGAAAGGAATCAAGCAATTATACTCGCAGTACCCTATTCTTAAAGAGATAAAGTGTAATGTATCAACCTACTAGCCAACAAAATGAAGACAGTGAAATTCCTATGGATACCGTCTCACGTAGGAATAGACGGAAATGAAAAAGCCGATCGAGCAGCAGCTGCCGCGGTGACCGACGCTAATCTAGAAATAATAAACACACCACATACCGATTGATGACCCTGATAAAACAACACATCTGTACTATATGGCAAAGCCAATGGAACAATAGCACCACCAAACTGTGAGAGACTATTTCAAGTGTGACGGAACACCTCCTTCTACCCAGAAGAAGACGCGACCGAGTGATTATCTCCCGTTTGCTAATTGGTCATACGCTAGTGACACAAATACATACCTGTTCAGCAACGCAGAAGCCCCAACATGCCAAACCTGCCCACTGCCAGACTTACCGTGAAGCATATACTCGTACTCTTGAGTGCACTGCTACGCAAGACGCAAGAAACCATGCTTGCATACCAGAATCCATAAAGGAAGCCCTCATCACGTACTACGAACGAACACTACAGATTCTCAATAATTTAATCTAATACCTTATGTATTGTACGTAACTATGTACCCTATCATTGTAATCTTGCCGTCCAGCCACTAATAACCCTGCGTGATTGATGCAGCTTTTGTGTTTTCTCAATAAAAAGAAAAAACAAGCACGCGAAAACCGCATCTCGATATCTTGTTCCTTACCTAAAATTTCGGCTCAAGAAAATTTTATACCGAAATCCCTTATATATTTATTTGTTTAAACCAATTTTTCTGAAATTCTTTTTTATGCATCAGAATAAAATCACTCTGAAAATATTACAGAATATCGCTAAAAGGTAAGTAATGCTAATAACAAAAGGCATATTTTTTGGGTATATACGTGAAAGACAATTAATAGAAGCAGGCCATGGAATACAACAAAACAAATACCTAATCACATAAATAATCCTCATGAGAATTGTCAATAGTTTCGGGTTACTTTGAACAATTTTTGTGCTTACTAAACGCATTTTACGAAAGATAAAGCTGTTGATATGCTTGCAGTTTATTTTGAATGTCTTCAGAATGCCGCAGTTGCAAAAAGAGTTTATGCGACTTGATATCCAAATCGGCGTCTTTGCGATGTGAAAGTTTTTCGTCGATTCGTGGCGAGCTTACGAGCCAATGGTCGTTTTTGGCCTACGTTCCAACAGCAAAGAAAATATTACCTGCGTACTGGTATATATATTGAAGGAAATTATCATGTCAGCAGCAGGGCATTATCCCTTGAGTTGAGCATATCACGAAGAACGGCTCAAAATATGTTGAAGTACCATAGGTAAGTTCTAATGGTCATCAAAATATACTTATTATGATCTAACTTTTCTTAATTACTTCTAGAACCCATATCATATCGTTTTGCATCAGACCTTGAAAGAGGAAGACTTTCATCGGAGGTTGTACTGCCATTGGATATTAGGCATTATATGCGAAAACTGAGAATTTTTATTTTAAATTCTTTGGGCCGATCAAGCCACCTTTAATAGTGACGGGAGAGACAATCTGCACAATATGCATTATTGGTCTGCCGAAAATCCGCATTGGTTGCGTTAAGTTAAGGGAGTTGGTATTTAAATGAGTGGTGTGGCTTACTGGGAGGCAGAATTATTGGGTCGTATTTTTTCGGAAAATCCCTGAACGGCAATGTCTTTCTTTACTTTTAGGACAATCAATTAGTGTTGTTGGAAGATGTGCCACTGGAAACACGGCAAAAACTTGTTTTTACAGTTAGATGGTTGCCCAGCACATTTTGCTATTATTGTGCGAGGGCATATTAATGCAGTAATTCCAACAGCGGCGGATTGGAAGGTGTCCCATGGCCTTCGCGATCTTAACTTCTTGATTTTTATTTATGGGAACGATTGAAGAACATCGTGTTTGAGCCTCAACTTAAAACCAGAGAAGATATTATGAAAAACCGGATTCGTAAATGCAATACGTAACATACCGAGAGCCGAAATTGAAGCTGCAGTTTTGTTTACCCCTGTGATTGTCAGCATTTCGAGCATGTACGGGGGCATTAAAAACCTTTTTTCAAAATCGGTCCTTTTTAGGGCCACAACTCAATAATAAAAAGAAATTCCAGAAAAATTAGTTTGGAAAAATAAAAATTTAGGGATTTTCATATAAAATTTTCTTTGGCCTAAATATTAGGTTACGAACAAGCCCTCTATCGGCCACATGTGAAACTAACAAAACTTCAAATATTATAACATTTGTAGCCCAAGAATAGCTCTTTTCAACTAGCCCAAGTTTAAAAAAAACAAATGCTGACAAATTATAAGGCTAACTAAAACAAAATTTTGCAATATACTCGTAGGTCATGATGTGACCTAATTGGGGATGAAGGATTATCATTCAGTTCTAGACACTGTATTTTTACCTACAGTGACGAAGCGTACTAGCCCAATATGTTGTTCGCTAAGTTCAAAAGTGCGCCAGCTATATGTTTACGACATGATCCTGGTACCACCTAACGCAGCAACGTTAAGAAATGTGGTATATCCTAGACTCTAGAGAATGATCCAACAGCTTGGGAACACCTAACTACTCAGGTCTCTTACCAAAACACATAGATAGTTGGATGGCCCCGCATGACCGTCTTGCCCGTAGATTCGTTTTACAAGTTCTGTTTAGCTGGACTGTAATTGTTGATGCGTCTACGTATGCACTATCGTTTCGTGGTGGTGTTCGATATTTGTCTCCTGTCATCCGTAATAACTCATGTCACTGTCAAGCAAATAGGTCAGTCATTGCGGTTTAACTACAACTTTCTTTCTCATCCATACCTTGTCCTCAAATAAAAGTTATCGACCGTTTAGGGCAAACCAGTCATTGAAAAACGCTTTTTTAAATTAAGCTTCTTTAACCTTTCCTGCTCGACTTGTTACGGATTACACGGCACAAGCAAGGATCGTCTCAAAATGCACACAGTACGACAGTTAATTACTGGTTACTTAACCAGAGTTCGACAAAAGAATTTTCCCAGTTATAGTTACCCAACTTGTCAGTTGACCTGCGATTAAAAAAACGGGCTTGAAAGATACGGATTAATTATACAATTTACTCGAAAATAATGTGGCAAGCTAATATAAGCTAATAAGCTTTTTAGAGAAACTTACATGACCTGCCACAACTTCAGGTTCCTCACCCTCGTCGGCTCCAACATGTTGCTTAATTTTGTTTTCCAAACCATTTGGATCTGCTCCTTGCAATCTGTCAATTTTCACCTTGAGAAAAACAAAAAATTCACTATATGAACGATACCGATACTATTAATGGGTAGTGGTCCATTTTTTGAAAGATAGTAGAACAACACATTAAGCATGTATGTTCCTAAAATAAACAGTCTAGGATCTAGGAGATACGATTTTGTATGGGAACAATAGTGGTGTAGCCATTTATGGCGTTTGTATTTTACTTGACTTGCGCTATATAGATATTGTTCTGCTTTATCTATTTTCCCCATAAAAGACGAAATTCTTCCAATAATTACTACCATGGTGTACCATATTAATAACACGGACATTTCGTTTAGACATTTTAAAAATATAATTTTGGCCGCTTATTACGATATTTGGGCCACTATGTGGGGGAATATGCGTGGTTTTGTAGTAATGTAAATCTTTATTTGGATTATGAAACAATTATACAGGGTGGCCCAACGAAAACGTCGCACCCCCATTTGTGACTCTCCTGGTATATTTTGGGAAAAACGCTCGGACACGTCAATTTTAAATTCTACGGGAACTTCTTTTCATCTATAGTCGTACAATACAGGGACATGAAGCTTTTAGTAACTTTTGTATAATAAAGTTTATATCAATCTTCAATCCTGAAGCTATTTGAGTTTATAATGAAATTCGACTAACTTAACTTAATACTGATAATAATGGAATGCACGGCAAAAAATAATAATCAAGTATACCAGCAAGAACCTTTAAGCATCAATCAGTGTCATCGTATGTAAAAACCTTGTCTTTTATTTCATTGTTAAGTTACCTACCTAGTTGTGATAAATATTGAACAATGACTTATAATATATATATATAAATGAAGCCGCAGAAATTGCAGTTTTGGGACAAGTAGCACTTGACAACACCCAAAGCACTCGTGAACTGGCTACTTCTTCAGGATTTACACGCTCCACATTACTAACTAACGAAGACGATTGTGATCGAAGGTTGGAGTTTTGCGAATTATTGTCTTAACGTTTAATCAACAATGAAAATCTGTTATTCAATATTTGAAGACACAAGTGGATAAAGGTGTCATGTAACATTTTTTTAAATTGCTTTTTTGTATTAAACTATCCTTAAGGAGTGATTCTTTCATTCTGTGATTATTTTGTTGCAAAAACAAGATCGTAACAAACTAATTAAACTAAATATTTAAAATGCCGATAAAGTAAAAAGTCCCAATAAAGAATGTCTAAAGTCATTTTTTTCCATTAAATGATTTTGTTTCATGACACCTTTATCCACCTGTGTCTTCATTTATTTGAGTGTACATTCTATTTTCGATATTGGAGTGACTCGAATCCGGCCGGCATTTTCGGAAATCATATTGTAGGAGCTTTCTTTATGCTTGGAAACTTGACTGGTGAGACGTACTTAGACATGTTACAATAGAGCTACGAATTACCGAAATAATATAAAATGATTGTAATTTTAATGAAAATCACATTCATTTCCAAGAAGATGGTACACCGCCGCACTATGTGGCTCCAGTACGACAGTTTTTGGACACCCATTTCACGAATCAGTGGATCGGCAGACGAGGCCCCATCGAGTGGCCGCCGAGATCTTCGGACCTAAGTCCTTTAGATTACTTTCGTTGGGGCATTTGAAAAGTAAAGTTTTTAGTACGAAGCCAGATTCCAATCAAGATCTTCGTCAGCGGATAACGGCTGAATGTAGACAAATAGCTCAAGACATGCTTGAAAATGTGAGGAATAGATTCGAACAAAATATTTATCATTGCATGGAGGTAAATGGACACCACTTTCAGCACTTATTAGCACATTGTTCTACTCTTTATAGCAAATTATTTTTTACTTTAACTTTAAATGTGCATTTAAACTGTAAGGTGTTTTGTTTAATACTCGGAAACTTGCTTTTAATTTTCTTGTTACTATGGGAACTACATTGATTATTTTTACGATATAATCCCTTATTAACACATTTTATAGAATTCTATTATACACTCAAATAGCTTCACAATGGTTGAACATACGTATAAACTTTATTATATGGGCCATGAATTAGTTAACATTTGAAAAAAATCGTATGAAAAAAACATTTGACATATTTTAAAAATTGTTTATTCACAAGAAAGCTAATTAGTTGGAATTCATTTGTTGAAAATTATATCATCTAAATGACCACCGTTACGATTTTTGCACTCTTCTAAACGTGTACCGAAGTTTTCGAATACTCGTCGGCATAAAGACTGCGAGATCGACAAAATCTCTTCGTTGATGTTTTCTTTTAGTTGACGGAGTGCACTTGGTTTATTGATGTAGACAGGACTCTTTAAATAACCCCATAAAAAGTCTGGTGGGGATAGATCTGGACTTCTGGATGGCCATGGGATGTCGCCTCGTCTGGAAATGAGCTTTTCCGGACACATTCCTTTTACCACCGGCAAGGACTCGTTGGATGTGTGACACGTGGGTCTATTCCCAATTCCAGTAACATCGGTGCCAAGAACTCCCGTAACGTTTTCACATACTCAGAATTAACAGTAACTGAATGGCAGCGAGGATCTTCAAAGAAGTAGGGGCCAATGATTCCTTTTGCTGAAATTGCAGCCCATACAGTTACTTTAGGAGAGTAAAGTAGCTTCTTGTGTTTAGCTTTGGAATTTTCGCTGCTCCAGTACCTGCAATTCTGTTTATTCACATGTTCGTTATATGGATGTAATTTCAAATCTAATCTCAAAATACGGCGTAATGATGTGCGGGATAATGCTATTTCAGCCGAACGTCGATAAATCTTGATCCCGTTGAACAGAAGCGGAAACTTGCTGCACGTTCTCTTCGCTCCGAGCAGTCCGTGGGCCGGTTTGCTTCACATTCAGTGTAGATCCCGTCTCTTCAAACCTCTTCACCCATTTCTTTATCAAAGGAGCACTCGGACACTGACTTAAGTCGTGTAAATTTTATTCAACGCGAAATAAGCGTCTCATAGTAATGAGCGAAGTGTTGTTTAAATAAAATTGTTTTACACAGTAAGCGTGTTGCGGCCCCGTGAAGCGATCCATTGCGAAAATCTCAAAATTTAAAAAAGGGGGTTTCCAATTGAAAACCTGAAGTGTAACGCAATATATTTTTTTGGATCCCTGTATTGTACGACTATAGATGAAAAGACATCCCCATAGAAATAAAAACTGACGTGTCCGAGCGTTTTTCCCATATACCAGGAGAGTCACAAATAGCGATGCGACCTTTTCGTTGGGCCAACCTGTATGAAAGAATAATATACACAGAAGTTAATACACGAAATGTATAACAATAGAGTATTTACTCTCAGGAAGACCTTAGTCGCAATCCTGGAGGTCAATGTAGTGTGTCACTTGAATGAGCAAATTTCCTTCCCCGCGCTTTCAGTAGCAAAATGCACAGAAAGTTAAGTGTACTGCATATATTCCTAGTGAAGAATTTTCGGCTGCCTCGGGTTCATCGTACTTTCATAAAATATGGAGAACTGGAGATGATTATGTCTAGAGGAATTAGAAAAAAACAAGATTCATAAAGAGCGCAGCTAAGCACAGAGAAACAGGCGTCCAAGGTTTGAATCAGATTCACAAGTTGCAGATACATCAAACAAAAATGTAGGAAACTATTGTACGAGTACACTTCGGCCAAAAAACTAGGGAAAATTACACTGATTAGGGTTAAATGTAAGAGTTGGCCATTGGCTAAATTTCGCCCCAATGAGACTAGGCGGTTGACTCAGCCCAACATAAAGAAACAACCTATAACGTCATTATTATCAGCATACTCAGAACTTGTTAATAAAAAAACGACATTCAAGGGACGAAAAACATTAAAATAGGTGGTTTGCTATAGTGGAAAAGAAAAAAGCTAGTTAATGAGACTAGGCGGTTGACTTAGTCCAACATAAAGAAAACAACCTATACATTTCTTATCAACATATAGTGAAAACCTGTCGATAAAATAGTGATACTCACGGGAGGACCTTATTAATCTTGAGATAATGGAATGTTCGCAAATCGCCTTCCAATCTCAAAATGTAATTAAAGATGCTCTACTTAAGGTTTCTTCGTATAGTGGTCGGTGACTGTGACTGGGATCCGGCCGTGTGAATTCAGTCTATATGGCATATAGCACAGTGAACGGAATTTTTGTGTCGGGATCTTCGACTCGGTTATTGACAGGTTGGCAACTGTTGTAAAATTATTAGGTCAAGGTCAATTACTGATGTGAACCATTTCAAGAAAATCTTTTTTGAAAATTTGTCTATGTCCAAACGATGGCACCAATTAAATTTCTGGTGTCTCAATAGCATATTTTGTAAGGCCACTGCTGTAGACATTACGTGAAATATAACTTTTATGAGATTTAATGTGTCTTACCAGCATTCTAGAAGTTAGGCTAATATATGACTGATCACAATTATCTCAAGGTATTGAGTAAACTACATTAGAAAGCTGTACAGGGTGGCCAACTAAAAATGCGAGATAGGAACCTATCCATAGTAGAAGGGCATTAAAAACCCTTCTTTTTAAAATAGGTCCTTTTTAGGGCCACAACTTAATAATAAAAAAAATTCCAGAAAAATTAATTTTGAAAAATAAAAATTTAAGAGGTTACTGTATAAAAATTTCTTTGGTATAAATTTAGATATCGAGATGCGGTTTTTGCGAGCTTTTTAGACTTCATTTAGCTGCTTTTTCATAAAAAACTCATACCAATGCACTTCATTTTTTTTGTATTCCAAGAATAGCTCTTTTCAACTAGCCCAAGTTATAGGTAGATAGATAAAGGGTGTTTTTTACGGAAACATTTGAATACCCCCACCACTTAATTTTTACAGATTCAGCAAAAATTGTCAAACAAAAAATGTTCAGATTATCATCGAATTTAAAGATCAGGTGTTTTTATTAGCTTAGTAGATCTAATTCAGCAAGCACTTATATTGAATAATTTTGGTTTTCCTGTTTCCTCTATCTAGTTTCAAACAATCATTTCTACCAGTTGCGTTTTGCCACAGAAACCGCGCATGTGGAGGGAATCAGTTGGTTCTATTCAAGTGAGACCAGCATTGCGAGTATGTGAGTCTTTATAATTTCAGATTGTCTATAGTAAAATGTTTCATGTCGAAATGTTAGTCATATTATTCTCTCATATTTCTATTCTACATAATTTGAATTACCTGAAAATTAATGACAAGCTTGATGGCATTTGAGTATCAAATTTACCTTATTTCGATAAAATATAAATGTGGGCATAGCAGATACCCCTTGCGCTGCAGCAGTATCTTGACAATGATCTACGTCTACTTTGAGAAAAGATGCTTTCGGATATTTGGCAGCTAGTTGTTGGAAAAGTGGAGCCATTCTTTGGCAAGGCCCACACCTGCAATAGAATATTACATTAAGTACTTCACCAACAATTTGTTATGTATATATACAGTAGCGGACAAAAGTTTGGAAACAATCATTAACATTATTATGAACTATTTCAGATACCGAAATTAACATTGTTAAGGAACAGATAATATAAATATTTTAAAGTCTACCTTTACTAATACAAGGTTGTTCTTATCCATATTCAAATTCTCTGAAAATGAAAACAGGTTTTTTTTAAATACCACAGTTTTTGTAACTACAAAAGTATGGAAACATTTTAGTTTTTCCGTATTTATTCGTCCTGCGATACTCTGATACGGCGTGCGGTAAATATCAGTGAGAATGGCAAAAGAAGAAGAATTTTCAATAGATTTAAGAGACAAAGTAATTGAATTATTTAGAAATGGTGTCAGGAATGTTGACATTTCTCAAAGATTAAAATGAACAAAGTGACGATTTCGAAAATTATTAGTAAATATCAAGAATAAGGAACAGCAACGCGTCCCAGGTGCGGAAGACCGAAAAAAACCGATTATGTTTTGGATCCCTACATTAAACGTTTGTCCCATGAAGATCCTCGAATGCCAGCCAAACAGATTTTCAAAAGAATCGTAGAAGAGGGGTGCCGAGATTCTTTCTGAAAGAACAGTGCAGAGACGCTTGGTGGATTTTGGGCTTTTTGGTAGGAGTCCAGTGCAAAAGCGTCTCATTTAAAAAAAATTGCCCGGCCTGAATTTGTTAAAACTCATCGAACTTGGACAGAACAACAATGGAATACACGTTTATGGAGTAATGAAACCAAATTCAACTTGTTTGAATCCGACGGTACGGCATATGTGAGACGTCCAATACGAAAAATATTCGACAAAGAGCATCAGTTGCCAACAGTTAAGCACAGTGGAGGCAACATCATGGTATTTGATTATGTAAAAAATATTTGGCAAAATATCCCAACTGACGTCAGTAAAAAAATGGTGTCTTCTATGAGCAGGCTATGCTACAAAATATTAGCTAAACAGTATTTTTTAAATCTTTGTGTAGAGTTATTGTAATTAATTTTGTAATAATAAATATATATTCACACTTGTGTGGTGTTATTTTTACTAACTATGTATATGAGAAAAAATAATCCTTAATAATAAAGAATAAAAATTTTGCGCACTTTTTAAAAATCACTCAAAATGTTTCCAAACTTTTGTCCGCTACTGTATAAAGGAAAGGTATATAAGGAATAGATAAAATAAAGGGCAACATCCGCAAAAAGAAGGAAAGTGAGTTTGAGCAGAAAACAGGATAGGTACCCTGAACGATACGTATATCTGATTGTTGGCTCCATCAGGCCCAAAATGAATGCCTATATGCAACTACAAAAGTAGATACACACGCCTTTACATCCGGATAGTGGCGTAACATGAGGAAACGAAGATGGAGAGGGAAAAAATAACACACGAAGTCACCAACAAGAGCCAACCTACACATTGTAGAGTAAAATGGCCAGAATACCTTAAATTTTCAAGGCAACATCTAACCAAAACTGTATATATACGATATACATCATAGTCGAGCCTTAGCTTTTGGAGGATGTCAACCTGCAAACTCGGACGCATATGTACTTCCAACATGACGGCGCACCTGCGCATTATCATAATCGTGTGCGTAACTTTTTTTTTCTTTATACTCCAACTACCACGAAGGCCTAAGGCCTAAACACCCATTGGGTACCGTGGGGCTATATGGGGATACAGGGGAAAGGGGGGATATGCACACATTCTGGCTCCGCCTACGAGATCCGCCGGGTGGTACCTCCGCGTTCGACAGTCAGAAACCGTCTACCACCTACGGACAATCACAACATCCATAGCCAAGAAAAAAATTTCTCCTGGGACGGGACTCGAACCCGCACAGCGACTGATCAGGAGACCGAAGAGTCTACTACTGCGGCCACCGCTGCTGCCTAATGGACTCCTGGAGTAACAATCGTTTAATAGAACAACACACCAAAATTAAGGAAAAAAATCACATCATCCATGGAAACAAAAGACAAACAGTGGGCTAGTTCCATATTGCCACTAAGAGTACAGATTTGACGTAAAAACTAATAACAATCAGAACAGTATAAATGCTTCAAGCATAATAGAGAAAAACAACTACAAGCCCCTTCCCACTTCAGTTGGCCCAACTATTTAAATCTTAGTTTTTTTCTTATCAAACACAAATAATAAAAATTTAGCAGGGTATTATAAGTTTAAAATCTTAACAATGGATATTTTGATAATATATAGTAGAAAACACCAAATTTATTACTTCTAATCAAATTTGCAGCATAAAAATAACACATGTTGCAATTACAGCATATCAACCTATTTTCACTTCAATGCAAAATAAGTCTATAATTTATAGGTGGCTGTGAAAAATAAAAGCCATGACAATTGTTTTTATTAATCACAGCTGTCAGAATACGTTTAAAATAGTTTTGGGTAGTGAAGGTTTTCAAAATGGGTAGAGGAAAGGTTATTAGTGAGAAAATTCGGTTACTGATAATTAAATTTTTTAATTATGGGAAATCAAACTTAGAAATTGCAACTTTGTTAGACTTATCGCGGTACAGTGTGAGAAATATTGTTAGAAGATATAACGTAACTGGCCCAGTTAATATTAAGCCACGATATGTGAAAAAAAGTAATATCACAAATGCCGACCGAAGAGCGTTAAGAAGAATAATCGTGAAAAACAGGCGTGCCAATTATTTACAATTAAGTGTTCTGTGGAGTGACGCTGTTGGAAGGAGAATTTTTTTTTGTTCTGTTATTAGCACTGGTCGATGATCAACTGGCCAGATCGTTATGTTCAGTTTAATGCTATGCTTTAATAGAAAATAGAACATCCATTACTTAATATTACTATTGTATATTATTTCTATTATAGTTACATACAGTATGCGAAAACATCTTTTTTTAAGGTTTTTTTAACCAATACTTTTTACTTATTTTTTCCTTTTCTCTATTTTGTTTGTAAGATTGTTTTTTTTATTATGCATATCTACATATATATATTACTTTATACTGATCTGCTTTTTTTGTTTTGTTTTTCAATATTTTCTTCTTTCTTTCATTTTTTGAAACAATATTACTGTAATTTACATTTTATAATGTTAGGCCTACTTTCCGACAATGCTTGTATAACAGTTCGTAAACTTGCTGGTTCTCAGAACTGAGAATTGATTCTAAATTTAGAGGCAGGAAGGTGATTCGCTAAAATTTTATACAATTCAGAATTTTCTTTGTTGGAACTTGTACATTCTAATATTAGGTGTTGCAAGGTTCCTATATTTCCACAACTGCAAAGTGGATCATCTCCGTATCCAATTCTTGATTTATGATGGGGCGTCAGGACATGACCACTTCTTATTCTGCTCACGGTTGTAATGTAAGTATGATTGGTAATTCCTTGAAACCAAGGTCTGCTTTGAAGAGTATCTTGTATACGTTTCAAGTATCTTGCTGTTGGACTGATTTTGTAATGGTTCTTCCATTTATTCTTTAGTCGTTGTCTGATCAGAAAATGAGCGTCAGTAAAAGGAATCTCCATGCCCGGAACGTAATCGCCTCTAGTTGTAGCTCTTTTTGCAAAATTATCTACCATCGCGTTTTCTTTTATACCTGAGTGGCCTTTGATCCAGGCTATGTTTATAGTTTTGTCGATTCTATTCAGCTCCTGAATGCGCTTGATGATGTTCGCAATTAGATGATTAAGATCTGTAGTGGGGTGATAATTCTCCAATTTTGTTACAGCACTTCTACAGTCGGTAAAAATAACAAAATTGTTATTTCCATGGAAGTGGAAACAGTATTCAATAGCTTGGTTGATCCCAACCAGTTCTGCTGTGTATACCGAACATTCCGGTGGCAACTTGAATTCTTGGTGATACGAATTATTGCTGTGATAAAATGAACATCCCGCTAAATAGTCTTTCTTCGAACCATCCGTGAAGATATATTCCCATCCACTCCATCGTGTTTGAATATCATGCCGGAATTTGTAAGGTGTTGATAAAGCTAGTTCGGAATATTTCGTGAAGATAAATTTGGGTGGAGAGTTATATGCAGAATATACAGGTATGAAACATGGGTTGATTTGATTAGTGTGTACCTTCTTGATTGTAGGAGGAAGCCACTCATAACTCTTTACGATCAGAGGAAGCCTTTTGTGTTGCCAGTATTTCGCTGTTAATCCATGAAAAAACAAATGGTGGATCTCGTTAATGTATCCCCTGCTGACCAGTTTAACCAGGGCTTTATCGCTAAACATTTGTCGTCTTAATTGAAGAGGAGGTTCGATACATTCGACCTCCATGACAGTGATGGGAGTGCTATTCAAATATCCGATACATAGCCTAAGGCACTTATTTTTGATCTGTTCTATTTTTTGAAGATGAATTCTAGATGCATATCCATAAAGTATTGATCCGTAGTCCAATATTGATCGAACTAAGGTCCTGTAAAAGGTTAAGCACACTGCTGGATCTGCTCCTCATTTCCGATGTGAACAGGACTTCAGAATGTTAAAAGCATTCTGACTTTTCTTTAAAATGTATGTAATATGTTTTTTCCAGTTAAGTTTTTTATCTAGTACAACTCCTAGATATTTGAAAGAAGTTTTATAAGATATATTCTGCCCAGCCAGAGTGATGGTATTTGAAGGACTAAGGCGAGATCTGGTAAACGTACATACACAAGATTTTGAGTAGGCAATGGAAGATCCATTATTCTCAAACCGTTCTTGTGCAATGGAATTCGCTGTTTCTAGAAGTTCCATAGATTGAGATAAATTTTTGTTTTGGGTACTAATGGCATAGTCATCTGCAAACATATATTTTAGCATCTCTTGAATTAAAAGCTCTATCAAAGTCATAGGAATATATTATATACAAGATGGGACTCAATATACTCCCTTGTGTTAGTCCTTTAGATGTTGATCGTGGTCCAATAGTCTGCTCAGAGGCTCTGATGAAAATGTTTCTATTGCTATACAGTAATAACAAATGGTTGGCAAGTTCTTTTGGAAGACCAATATTTATAATTTTACTGTATAGTATATTCAAGTCTACATTATCATAAGCTCCCATAACGTCTAAAAATATTACAGAAGTATGCGTGTTATTCGAAAATCCAATTTGGATATCAGTTGTTAACTTTATCAGTTATTCTTGAATAGACCGTCCTTTTCGAAATGCGTATTGCGAGCTTGGGAGCAATTGGTTTTTCTCCAAGTAGAATTCCAACCTGTTCTTTATGAGTCTTTCGTAAGTTTTCAAAACGCATGAAGCAAGTGAAATGGGACGATATGAATCTTGATGATGTTCTGGTTTTCCAGGTTTCAGAATTGGAATAATTATATAATCGTACCAATCTTTCGGTATTTCAGCATTCCCACAGTATATTTGATTTAAAATATCCAATAACGATTGTTTCGTTGTTGCAGGTAATTGGTATAACATCGAATAATGAATTTGGTCCTTTCCCGGAGATGTATTGTTGTTCTGTTTGATGACTCTCTGTAATTCTACCATGGTAAAAGGTTGCATCAGTTCATGGTTAGTCCACGTTGAGATTCTTCTTTGGATGTTTTTACTTACATAATTTGGGGCCAACTTACAATGAAATTCTTGTACCCACTCTGCTGAAGCTTCTATAACATGATAATTACTCTGTCGCCTATTTTTATACAAGTTAACTTGCTTCCAAATTTGTTTAAGTGGGGTGTTACTATTTAAAGATGAACAATATTGACGCCAACTTTCTCTTTTGACCTTTTTGAATATTTGTTTGGCCTTCGCGTCAAGTTTTTTAAAATTAAGTAAGCTTTCGAGGTTTGGGTTTGTCTGATATAGTCTAAAACTATCCTTACGTTTTTCTACTGCTATATTACATTCTTTGGTCCACCATGGTTTTCCTTTGACATTATTTTTGTTTTCAAATTTCGGAATAGAAACTTCAGCTGACTGGTTAACATTTTTGATGAAAGCTATAATCTATAACAGGTTCTACATAAGATCTATTTATACTCTCGAAACAGAACTGATTCCAGCAAGCTTTGTTTATGTTCCATTTTCTATTTGATGCAAATGACAATTTTTCTGGAGTAAAATTATAATTGATAAGTATAGGCAAATGATCTGAACCACATGGGTCTGGCAAGGTTCGCCATTCTAGCTGATGGTGAACTTGAGGTGAACATAATGTAAGATATATTGCTGATTTTGATTGATACTTTACATAAGTTGGATCTCCATTGTTAATAAAACTGAGATTACTGTCATCTAGAGCTTCACTCAGGATTTTCCCAAATACGTCATCCTGAGCACAACCCCATGAAGTGTGATGTGCATTAAAATCACCTCCTATAATACATGGACTGTGTAAGGAACTAAAAAATTGTATCCATTCCTGTTTAGTGATTTTGGTTTGTGGTTTAATATATACAAGGGACTAATGATATTTGAGAATATTTTAAACTATTTCTCATTAGTATAGCCACTCCTCCTTTGCCATCTGACCGGTCTTGACGGATAACGTTATAACCTTCAAATTTTACATATGTATTTATTTTAAACCACGTTTCAGACAAAAGTGCGATGTCCACATTTTGTTCTTCTAAAAGGTGTTCCAAATTACCTTCATTTGCTACAGCCGATCTACAATTCCATTGACATATCCTCAAAAAATTCATTGTGGTTTCTAAATGCATTGTATAGATTCTATTTTATGTTTTTCGAACACCTTGGTAAAAGTGTAAAATGATAAAAAATATACTGTAATTTTCTTAATTCTTAAAGTTATTTGTCTATATTTAATCTTTCTCTTATGGGATTAGTTATAGTTGATTTATTCAAGCTGTTGATGTTTGTTTCTCTAAAATTTGTAAGAACAAATATAACCAATTCTGAAACATGTTGGATGAACGTCTCATCTCTCCTATTAAATTCATGTATACAGTAACTGGGGTTATTAGTGATACCCCCGGATACCTGTGGAGTACTTATTTGACTCACAATTTGTCTCCTAGCTTCTTCTGTCAAATCTGGAGAGGAAGGCGAGTTCCGTTTCAAAGGTTTAGACAACCTTTGTGTAAAGTGCGAATTCGCATTTGGATTAATTATTGATGTTTGAGTATTTGAAGATTGATTTCTTTAGGCGTAATGGGATTATTTTTTGTAACTGAAGCGTATGTGGTTTTTGGCACCGCATTGTTTGAGTCTCTAAAAGAAGAATTAGTCATTGCCATATACTTTTTAATTGCCTTTTGCCTCTCAAATTCATCACATTTTGAGGTTTCAAATGAGTAGTGACTGCCACCGCAAATTAAACATTTTTGTACCAAAGAGTCGTTGTGGCATGAGCTAGTAACATGTTCTTCGTGACATTTTGCACACCTAGGCTTGCTTCTACATTGCTTACCCAAATGACCATAACGCATACAGTTATGACACAGAATTACTTTCTGTATATAATAATTTACATCAAAAAGAACGTGATTTATAGCGACACGCTTAGGCAATTCTTGCGCTTGAAAAGTAACTACAACCTTATTTATAGGTAGATATTTAATGTCACCATTTTGATCTGATTTCCGGTGCATGCGTTTAACCGAATCCATCGAGAAAATGCAGTGGAATCGAAAGGTTTGATCCTTTCCAACAAATATTCGTCTGATAAGTCTTTGTCCACCGAAATAACACCCTGTCTATATAAAATGAATTTGGGTATATAAACGTCTATATTGATAGTTTTGAATAAAATCGTTTTATTTAACAGAACATTTGCTGCTGATAGATTATTTAACATAATCCTCACCCTATTGCGTCCAATCGATTCAATTCTTTCAATCATATTGTCAACTTCAGGAATATTTTTGAGAATAGTTTCACCAACCTCAACTGGATTTAATTTACCTGAGAAATTTGGTTCATTGTTTTCGATATAAACATGATAGGGGCCCTTATCAGTCTGCTTATATGTTAAAAGCGGTCGATCTGCTTTTTTGGGAGATAATATTGTTGGAAGTTCTACCTGCATTACTCCTGATTGTAGATCATAGTCAATTGTATTATCATTACCGACCTGGGAATTATGTTCAGTAATTGCATTCATTGAATCCTCCGATTCCTTCCTTTTCTTTCCAGGGGGCAAGCCCCCCTGGGAGAAACTCATATATGTTGCGTGGTCCTGCTCAGACTTGATATACCTAAAACTACTTAAAGAACAGCTAAGTTTCGGCACTAATTAAATATTCAAGCTCGGAATCGAACAAAAATGATGTTCGCTCGTCACGTCACTTTGACGTATGAAGGAGAATTTCGAGGTCCACAACTCATAGAGGCCCACAAACTGGGATTTAGCACTTGCAATTTTTGTTATAAAAAAAGTGAAGTAAAAACCCTAAAGTTGCACAACTTGTTTATAGGTCAAAGAAAAGCCACTATTCACTCCACTGCAAAGAAAAATTGGCTTAGATGGGCTAAAGAACATAGACAATGGACACCTCAACAATGGTGTGCAATACAATGGAGTGATGAGGCCCGATTCGAAGTTTGCGTTGGTTACAGTCGGAGTAGAGTAATTCGCAAAAAAAATGAAGCATTCCATGTTGACTGTCTGAAGAGAAAAGTGAAATTTCCAGCATCCATTATGGTCTGGGGCAGTATGTCATCAAAAAGAGTAGGAAAACTTCATTTTATTGATGGAAATGTGGATACAAACAAATATTTGGCAATTTTAGAAGAATCGCTTTTACCAGTGATGGAAGAATGTTTGACATCCGGCCAAGATTTTGTGTTTCAGCAAGATGATGCAGCGTGCCATACCTCAAAAAAGGCTATAAAATGGATGGAAGAAAATAATGTACCACTTTTGAAATGGGTTTCTAGCAGTCCAGATCTGTCACCTATTGAAATTTTGTGGCACGAGAAGAAAAAGGTTCTATGACAACATCCTGCTCGTACAATCACCGAACTGAGACAAAAGCTTCAAGAAATATGGGACTGTTTTATACCAAATTTTTGCCAAAACTTAGTTAACACTATGCCACAAAGAATTTCAGCCGTAATAAAAAATTAAGGTGATGTTACCCAATGGTAATCTTTCACTTGTTGCTTTGTTAACTTCGCGCATTTATTGGCACATTGTTTATTTGTTCAGATGTTCTATTAGTTATAGGTCTAAGTGATTTCAAATATGTATTTTTTACGACTAGCGTGTATCTAAAATGTTTTTGAGAAAATAAATTGTTTTAGAAGTAAATAGTTTCATCATTTTAGTTTATAAAGGCATATTTTGGTACAAATCTTGAAGTGGGCTAACTGAAGTGGGAAGGGGCTCGTATAACATAAACAAACTACTATCACTACTCAAAACCTAATCTGCAAAAACTGCTCGAAAATATCTCCACCATGTTGAATACACAGCCGTAGTTTTTAGGTAAATGACCGTTGCACATCCCTCAGCATGTGTTCCCTTATGTTCAGAAAAGCATCCTGAATCCTCTCCTTTATATTTTCCGGGGTAGATGGTGGATATCACTAAACATGTTGCTTAACATAGCCCCATAGAAAGAAGTCCATTGGTGTCACATCTGGTGATCTATGAGGCCAAGGTATAGGTCCATCACGACCTGTCTAACGATTGCTACTCAAGGTGTCCAAATAGCTACGCACACACGATTATGAAAATGCGCAGGTGCGCCGTCATGTTGCAAGTATATATGCATCCGAGTTTCCAGGTTGAAATCCTCCAAAAGCAAAGGCAAATGCTCGATCAAAAAATTCAAGTATTCTGTACCTGTTAATCTGTTGTCGAAAAAGAAAGGCCCGGTAACTTGTCTGCCAATAACTCCTCTCCAAACATTCATCTCCATTTATTTTGGAAATCTATTTGCGTTACCCAGTAGGGGTTTCCGGTCACATAATAGTGCATGTTATATCTGTTGACAACACCTATGCTATTAAAAGTTGCCTCATCACTAAAAAGAACCTTATCCAGGAAAGTAGTGTCTTCACTCTATTAAGCATTATTCTACTAAACTCCATTCGAGCTGCGAAATCCTGAGGTCGAAGGCCTTGATACAAGCATAGGTGATATGGATTGTACCTATGCTTGTGAATAATCCTTTGGACAGAAGTTCTGCATATATCAGTTTCTGCTCCAATTTGCCGTGCACTTAAATGGGGATTTTCCTGCAACTTTAATAGAACCTCCAACTGATTCATCTCATTGGTGACACTTGGATTATTTATACATTTTTTACTATATTCCACTGCTCCACTTGATTCAAAACATTCTCATAGTGTGGAAAATGTTTCCGGCCTTGGATGTCGCATATTAGGATACCTTCGCTTATAAATGCGAGATGCTAGGTAACTATTTCATTGGGCTTCACCCAAAGCAAACACCATATTCACCATTTCTTCTTTAGAAAAATTCATTTTCAAACACGTTTTTATTATAATGCTTGCAAAGCTAATTTTGACAGTTTGTAACTAATCAACAATTTATTTGTTTCCAAGGATGTTGCGATATTTTAGGGAATTAAGCCGTTCCATAAAAGACATGCTAATAACCGAAAAAATAACCGTAAAAACTCTTATGTGTATAGTATCAAAAAAAGCTTATAAAAAGTTGAATCCAAACTTGCAAAAATATATGAATTTGAAATTTTTGAGAAAAACTACAATTTGCGTTTTTGACCACCCTGTATCAGCAAAAATTAAGATTATAAAAAACAACAAATAAGATAAAAGCTGAGGTGTGTAAGTTTTTGTTTATACAAAATTCAGCACTCCAAATTTCAAAATTTCTAGACAAAACACCTTATATCTCAGTAGCTAATTACCAAAATCCCATAGTATGTTATATCAATCTTCTTATTTTGAATTGGTTTATCCAAATATGCAATAAAATTTGAGGCATTCCATTTGAAAAATCACAACTTTGATATGTAGGTCGAAATGGGGACACCATATATAATGGCCATTATTTCAGAAATATGCCCTCAAATGTCATGCATAACATCCCATAAATAGATTTTCCCAAAATGTATTTGTTTATGAATAATATTCCGTCCACACATGTATGGGCCACCCTGTATATATATATATATATAGGGTGACTTTGAAGTTGAGTCATTAATTTTCAGATAATGATTGTAGAAGGAAGATAAACCAAAATATGTTTGTAAAAATAAAAAAAATAAAAATGTTACCTTGTTTTGTAAAGTATCCTCCCGACAAGTATTTCAGTGCGGACCTGTATTTGATCGTGCGGTCTTGGAGCACCGGCATACCCTCCTCTGTGAGGTCTTAAGTCACCTGATTCACGAGCCCTTTGTACTACATTAACAAAGGCACGAGGGGTTGGTTGCCCTCGATTGGGAAACGGATCCGCATAGATTCGTGATGCCGCGGCAGCATTTTGTAAAGACTCTCCCCCCCCGTCCCCCGTAAATAAGAATCATGTCCACAAGTTCAGCATTTTCGTAAACATGTGACATTTTTTATTTCGTTTGAGCCACGCAACAAACACCACTATTCACTCACGCGTTACCGACTGACTCATTGACTGACATCGTGATAAACGTTTCAAATTCTTTCGCTTTTTTGTTTCCGATGCGATGAACCGATAAGACGGATTTTATCCGTTGTCGCCAAACACAAGCACATAATATTATTATTGAGACAGGGCGGTACTCAAACTTCTAAAGGGCTATAACTTTGTTAATTTAATTTTACCAGAAAAATGTTAAAGGAAAAAACATTTCTTTTGATCAGATCTACTCATTGTTAAAATAAATAACTCAACTTTGAAGTATATATATATATAAAAGTAGGGAAATAATGGGTGAAATCCGCAAAAAGGAGGAAAGTGGATTCGAGCAGAAAATAGAATAGGTAACTCGAGCGATACGGATTTCTGCAGGTTGACTTCATCAGGCCCGAAATGAATGCACATATGAAACTACAAAAGTAGATATACATGCCCACACATCCGTATACCGGTGTAACCTGAGCAAAAGAAGATGGAGAGGGAAAAAACCACAACCACAACCTCGCGGCCGTTTATAGCCACTTGCTGTAGTACTTCAAGCCCAAAGGATCTACAGATGGGATTTATTTAGAAATAATTCCTGTTGCTATCCTGGGACCCTCTCACCTAAACTTTAGCCCTGATAGCCAGGTATGCATGTATGTTCCAGTAGGTTTAAAATATGTTCACTCAGTGTCACACCTATTCTTTGTTATCAGTAACACAGTACGTCCACTTGGAGCGTGCTCTATAATTTAGCTTACGGCGCCAAAACTATTGATCCGCTCCTGCCTCCCAAAAGTATTAAAAAAATCGTCTACAATAGAACGGTGTCAAAGAGCCAAGTTTTATAAAGGGAATGATATTTTCACAAGAACATCAAGAGTAACTTACCATGTAGCAGTAAAATCGACAACTACTAGCTTTCCCCCAGCATTCGCTAGTTCTGTTTGGAAGTGAGCTTCTCCTGTAATTGTTTTAACAGATCCCATTTTCTCTTTTTAAGAACTGAAGAATCACTGTATGAATCACAATACACACCAAAGAGAGGTTAGCAATGAACTGTCAACAGTGTCAACACTGATGAATCAAATCCAAGCGAATAACCAACATTTCTGTGTTATGTGCCGCGGTTATAATATGGTTCAAGATGACACACGGGTTGATGACGTCAGTTACACGAATCGCTTGAACGCGTTGGTTTTCACCGCGGTTTTGTTGCAAGTTGTTTATTTTAGAAAAGCGCGTATATAATCTCTGATTATTTTTATTATCACTTAATATTCGGTGCTTTTTCGTTTAGAACTGTATATGGAAAGTTTAAATAAGAAACCTTTCATAATATTCATGGGAAAAATGTTTTTTCTTTTTTTTTTTTTAATGATGGAACCATGCCTTTGTAGCTATGATAACTTTCAATTCTCTAAATTTTTCCGCATAACAAAGAAAACATTTATTGATTCAGCAGAAACTATGAAAAAAGAAATTAGCAAAACCGTATACAGGTGGATATCATCCAGTGAGTTTATATGGCCATATTTTAATATTCTTGTGGTATAGGGCTACACATGACACTTTGTTAAGCATAGGAACTACATTTAAAGTGTCCCTAACAACCGTAGTGAGTATAACTAATAAGGTGCTCCACTTTATGGTAAAACTGAAGTCAGCCTGTATCATTTTTCTCAAAAATGAAGCTGAAGTACAACAACAATATCCAATACCCGGCAAAATTCTAACTTGTCACATTTCAAATAATAACCAGAAATATAAAACTACTCTTGAGTTGGGTAAATACCACAATTTTGCGGTGATAACTATGACATATAACAGCTGATTCGTGACGTCACGGATCTTATAACCAAACTGATAACTACACTCGCTTGAACGGATTGGTAAATACCAACCCAAAATGGTAAATACCATTTCCATTTGGTTATCCGCTTGAATTTGATTATGGAATCGCCCCGTCCCATTTGTACAATGAAACGATAATGCGGCCAACATACGACAAAGAGGTCCGAGAGAGAGAGATGGAGGTCAGGGCAAAAAGCGCGCGGACTTGAATAAATTACATAGGAAACCCAGGATTTTAGAGAAGATTTAAAAGTTATTCAGGCAACTGGAACGAGATAAAATCCTGGAAACGTAATTATAATTAAAAAACCAAGTTTATTTATTTATATACAGGGTTATCCAAATTAAGTGTCCACCATTAGTAACTTTGTTATTAGTGAAAATACAAAGTTGTTTGAATTAGCAAACTAGTAGCATTTTTAACGCTGGTAAAAATGAGAAATAAAAAAAACAATTGAGAGTCGTTATTTTGATTTTTTTCAGTAAAATAACATTTTTTTAAATGGAAACCCCTGTATATTATATTTTTTTCTGTTAAAGCATCAAATTTTAAACAAAAAAGTTCATAATGACTTTTCCGCTAAAGTCAAAAATAAAGTCAAAATAACGATAAATATTTTTAATTATTTGCAGTATTATAATATTAAGACGGCTATGAAAACAACATGGCGTTCGCGATTTGACAGCATTAAGATAAGCGACAAATTGTTAAACTGGACATACTCGCAACTAGAAGGCTTTGGAAAACAATGATAAAATCAAATAATGTCAAACATTAGTGTAAATACTTGTTTATAAGCTTTATTGTGTCATTAATTTAAAGAAAAATGTTCTCCCATGAAGAAAAGTGTGATATGTTAGAATGCTATTTAGTGTGCAGAAAATCCTCCGTGAGAGCAAGAGAATACTACAGTGAATTATATCCCGCTCGCATTCAACCGTATGAACGATATTTTCTGAGACTTTATCGAAAATTTAGGGGCAACGAAAATGTTTTTGCTAAAACAAGGGCAAAAAAAGAATTCATAATAAGCGAGGCCACGGAAATTGCAGTTATTGGATATTTTGAAGCTTATCGTGAGAATTCAATAGCAGATATTCTCAAGGACTCTAATTTCAGTTATGGTACTGTTCAAAGGATTTTAAAAAATACAAATTTATTCCGTATAAGTACCGACCAGTTCAAACGCTTTTGGCAGGGGATCCAGAGAGAAGACTTGTTTTTTGCCATTGGTATCTTAGCTTCTGTCGCCAAAATGTAAATAACTTTCGTTACCTTTTATGGACAGATGAATCAAATTTTTCAAATTCTGGAATGTTTAATAGAAAAAACCACCATTATTGGTCAAGAGAAAATCTTTTGTTAGTACATCCAAGAGGCCCACAAGTCCGTTTCAGTTTCAACGTTTGGTGCGGTATAATTGGTTCAAAAATTGTTGGCCCGTTCTTTTATGAGGGAACCCTAACTGGTGAAAGATATGTGGAATTTATGTCAGAAATTCTGACTAATTTCTTGGACGAATTGGATCTTATAAGTAGACATCATCTGCATTTTCAGCAGGATGGCGCACCTGCCCACAACTCCAGAGGTACTTATCATTTTCTAAGTACTACTTTTAATGATTAGTGGATAGGAACAAATGGCCCAATACAGTGGCCTCTCAGATCACCAGATCTAAACCCACTTGATTACTTCTTGTGGGGTTACTTAAAGAACCAAATTTACAAGCGAAGGTACGATAACCTTGACGCGTTAAAGACTGCAGTTAGGGAAAAGATAATCCAGATAGATGGTAGGACCATACTTAAGACAGTTCGAGCAGTTGAAAATCGTGCCCAAAAATGTATTGAAGAACAAGGTGGTGTTTTCGAGCATCTTCTTTAAAAAAAATTGTTATTGTATTTTGTAAGATTATAAGTTGATGTTGAAAATAAAGTTTGTCGATACAGTTTAATTGTTTCAGATTGGAGGCCATAACTTCAACAATTTGTAACCTAGGAGAAAAGTTATTGTAAGCTTTTTTGTTTAAAATTTGATGCTTTAACAGAAAAAAATATAATATACAGGGGTTTCCATTTAAAAAAATGTTATTTTACTGAAAAAAATCAAAATAACGACTCTCAATTGTTTTTTTTATTTCTCATTTTTACCAGCGTTAAAAATGCTACTAGTTTGCTAATTCAAACAACTTTGTATTTTCACTAATAACAAAGTTACTAATGGTGGACACTTAATTTGGATAACCCTGTATACATATGTATGAAACTTGACAATAAATTCTCCTTTACACATTTGAAGATATAAAAATTAGTATTCAACATAAGTAATTAATAATTCAGGTAGCAAAGAGATTACATGTCTGCTTATAATTAACACGTTGACTGCCGTAATACTAAAAAAAATCGGTCCCTGGGGCCACCTTTTTTTTTTCTTCCAAATACTAGTTTTAGTATACTAGAACACCCGCACGTGTTTTGTGTTCCCAAAAAAAACTCTTTTTCACGTTTCTTGATGAGACCCACCGCATGGTCACGCGGCCTCAACATATGAAGTTTTACCCAATGGCCGCGTGCAACAAATGTTGTGTCTCACCGACTTGTATCGACCTGTCGACCGGTGCGAGCCGAACAATGTATTAGAAGCGAATGCTATCAGTGATGTCTCAGTCTAGTTTATGCGGTGTTCATCAGATGTTTTCCAGTCTTCCTAAGAAGCTATAAAACTTGTGTAGAGGCTCAATCTTCATCCCAAAAAGTAGTGCTCACTCTTGCAAAGGACTTGTTTGACAAGGGACGGACATACGGACAATTATTATCCAAGTATCGAGTTGGCAAGTGCATTACTTGCAAGGAACACTCACTTGGTTGGGACTCTCCGATCCAATCGAAAAATGAATCCTAAACAAGTTGTTGATAAAAAGCTCAAAAAAGGAGAAACTGGGGCAGCTGAAAGCAACTCAGGTATAATTATCCAGAAGTGGAAGGACAAAAGAGATGTGCTTACCTTATCCACAAAACACACCGATGAGTTACTAATCATCAGATCTGGCAATAATATAGAATTGCAAAAACCTGCTGCTGTGGTTGACTACAACAAACATAAAGCCTATATTGACTTGTCGGATCAAATGAAGTCTTATGCCACCTCATTACGCAGAGGGGTGAAGTGGTACCGCAAGCTGGCCATTGAGCTTCTTATTGGTAGTGCATTAGTAAATGCACATGTTTTGCACCAAGAAGTAGCCAACGAAAAAATGTCCATCACAAAATTCAAGCAGGAAATCGTAAACAGACTCTTAGGCTTTGACGTTGATCAGCATACGCATAGTATTTTTGAAGATCATCAACATTCTTTGGAAGATGTTGGTACCAACAACCGACGTCGATGCGCTTTTTGTTATGAAAAACTTCAAAGAGAATCTGGGCGAGCACATGCTCAAAGAAAAACTCCGCGAACAAAACTAAAGTGCACGTCATGTGAAAAATATTTTTGCATTGAGTGTTTTTTCCAGGTACATAAGCGCACAAAATAATTGTTGTTTTTATTATACATTTTCATGTTTTTTGTTCTATATTAATGAGAAATATATTTTTTGTTGTATTCTACTTCATAAGGAGGTTCCTTTTTGAATACCTTTCGTTTTATTATCTACGTATACAGGGTGTTCCATAATTATTGCGACAAAATGATAGGGGTTGTAGAGGGCATCAAAATGAACAATTTTTCCTTATAAACCCCTGTTCGGAAATATGCCGTTTGGGCTGCAGCAAAAAAAAAAGATCAGTTTCTTGAAACAGCTTACCTACAGTAATTGCTCAAAGTGTCCTCCACCTTGCTCAATACACACCTGTGCACGATTGTTCAATGATCGGCGAACTCTGTGGCATACCCCCGGTATGTCCTGAACATGTGCGGACGCGGCCATCACTCTTCCCAGTAGCTCTTGTTGGTTGGGAACAGGAGTTTCGTACACTAAAGCTTTCAGATAGCTCCAGATAAAATAATCCAGTGGGGTCAGGTCAAGTGACCGCGCAGGCCAAGGCACAGGGCCACCTCGGCCTATCCACCTATTTGGAAATTTGTCGTCCAAATACTGCCGCACTTGTAAAGAAAAGTGGGCTGGACCGCCATGGTGTTGAAACCACATGTTGGCTCTTATATTCAGTGGCACATTTTGTAATAGTTCCGGTAGCACATGCTGTAAGGATCGACCATAAGCATGCCCATCCAAACGTGGTGGAAGCAGATATGGCCCGATGATATGCTCGTCCACAATGCCGCACCAGATGTTAATTGAAAACTGATGTTGGTCTCTATGGATGGCTATGGCATGAGGGTTTTCTTCATCCCAAATGTGACTGTTATGGCTATTAAAATAATCGTCCTTTGTAAAACAGGACTCGTCAGTGAACAAAACGTAGCGACCAAAGTTTGGCTGCCTCAACTCCTGCTGCAGCCACCAACGGCAAAAACGTCGACGCGGCAGATAGTCTGCTGGACCCATGGCTTGGACTTTTAAAAGGTGGTACGGGTGTACGATAACAAAAATGTAAACACAGCAGGCTTTTTTTACAAACCGGTGAGACCATGAAATGTGCTAGACGAACATTTTGCAGCTGGTGAATTTTTTGTTTCTCCTATGAGCTCTTAAGGTAAAATTAACTGTAGTGCTCAAACGGCATATTTACGAACAGGGGTTTATAAGGCAAAATTGCATATTTTTATGCCCTCTACAACCCCTAATATTTTGTCGCAATACTTATGGAACACCCTGTATATCAGGCCATGAGTAACCACTTATAGGTCACGGATCCAAAAACCAAAAACAGTTTTAGACATTTACAGCCGTGATCTTTCAGTCCCATATTACTTATATAGGACTGAGACAACCACCCAGGCTCACACGGCTATATTACAGAATTTCTGACGAGACAACTAAGGTGTGTCACTCGGCTGTTATAGAAAACAACCTGAGACGCCACATTTGTGTCTCACGGCAGCCAACGTGTTAACTTAACTGCACTAATATGCTATTTCTTACATATAAAAAATAAGAGATCTAAGAAATATCACAATAAATACATGTTATTTTCTATATATCTTTATAATGTTCCAAATAGTATTTATGCACTAAATTTAAACCCTTATATATATACAGGGTGACTTCGAAGTTGAGTCATTTATTTTAACAGTGAGTAGATCTGATCAAAAGAAATGTTTTTTTCCTTTACCATTTTTCTGGTAAAATTAAAGTAACAAAGTTATAGCCCTTTGGAAGTTTGAGTACCGCTCTGCCTCAATAATGATATGTGCTCGTGTTTGGCGACAACGGATATAATCCGCCGTATCGGTTCATCGCATCGGAAACAAAAAAGCGAAAGAATTTGGAACGATGTTTTTACAATTATTTCATTCATTTGTATACAGTCAGTGTCAGTGAATAGTGGTATCTGTTGCGTGGCTCAAACGAAATAAAAAATGGCACATGTTTATGCGGATCGGTTTCCCAATCGAGTGCAACCAACCCCTCGTGCCTTTGTTAATGTAGTACAACGGGCTCGTGAATCAGGTGACATAAGACCTCACAGGGGACCTCACGATCAAATACAGGTCCGCACTGAAATACTTGTCGGGAGGATACTTTATAAAACAAGGTAAACATTTTTTTTTTATTTTTACACACATATTTTGGTTTATCTTCCTTCTACAATCATTATCTGAAAATTAATGACTCAACTTCAAAGTCACCCTGTATACATAAGGGTTTTTTCCTTGTACACTTTAATCTCTACAAAATTGGACGTGTTCCCACTAAGTTTGATCGTTTTTTGTTTGTTTTTCGACGATAGCTCTACCGCCACTGTACCGATTTTCAAAAACTGCAGAGCTTTTTCGTCATTTTCATAGTAGTAACCTAGGATCAAAATTTCATCAAAATCGTGATAGTACTTTCAGAGTTATCATTTATTTAATCTTTTTCGTTAGTTATGAAATGGAAATCAATATATTTCTCAACTAGTCTCGCCTTGCAACAGGACATTATAATGAAACAGCTGTAAGCACTTGATAATTTATAATTTACTAAAATACATATCCTTAGGCCAGCCATAACTCACCTGCGAAACGTACAAAATATTAGCAATATGAAAAAAGTATACTAATTTAATCCATTCTCCTCAAAAGTTAGTTACCGAACATACATTATTATGAAGAGGTAGGTATTCAATTCAAAATACTTCCCACATACCACTACTTATAACAAATAAATAATGTTTGTCGCTGCTACTGGTTCTAACCTAAAACCATCAAATACATGACATCTCGAACCATGCTTCCAACGTTGTAACGTCCTTTACGCGGGTCAAATTTACCGACAGGAGCCCGAACGTGCCATGTGGCGAACGTTGGACACATGCAATCCGTCAGCGCTCTCCCACACGATGTGGCGAATGGCCATGTGTCCAACGTTGTAAGGCATCCGCCACATCGTGTGGGAGCGGTTTAAAATATACTCTACTAGGCGCTATAAGACATTGTAAGTAACATTGCGAAATATACTCTACTAGACTCTTTTTATTTTGTTATTTTCATTGTCATAAAACTGTTTAGCTCTAACGTTATGATTCACATGTTAATATATTTCAAATCACAGTCAACCACGATGTGACTATACACCTCTCAGGTGGCGAAATATGGCAACGCAGCGCTCTCAAAATTCGCATCCATTCCGTCCTGTGATCGATAATCAATCTTCTCTGGTCTATTCTTCACCGTCACATGTTCTGGGTTGATATTTGCCGTCCAGGTAAGTGTACCATCACCGAAGACTATCTGAAGCGACATTTTTCCCGAAATCGTTGCACAACACTTAAAGCATTAGGCGTATTTTTTAATTTACCGGTTGAGCCACCGGTGCAACCAATTAGCCAATTTTACTTCCTTTAATTTCCGTCTGTAAATGACAGCTTTTTTTAGTTTTTTGGCAAACATTGCTACGCTTCAAATTTGATATATCTCCATTGGTATCCCTCAATGTTTTATTCAAAGCTTCTTTTTTATATAACATTCTAGTAAAATAGCAGAGGTAGCAAAATTGTCCGATGAGCTGGCAACGCAGCAATTTAGGTGACAAGAATGGCAAGGTCAACTGCTAAAACGTATGTCTATTCCGGGGTAACGACGGAGTCGGAGTCATATAGCACGTCAAAGCGGCAGTTTTCCAATCTTCATTTGCATTTTTTAAGCGGTGTGCAACGATTTCGAGAAAAATTTCACTACGGAGTCTTCTAGAGTCTAGTAGAGTATATTTCAATACTTGTCTTGCGAGGCCATGTTATCTTTACTCGGACCAATTCAGATTCCAGCAAGACAGCCAAGTTTATAAAGGATCTTAAAGCTAACATTTTGCGCAACATGCGCCATCTACCAACTCCCGGTGTAAATGGAAACTGTCAAAACTTCGAGAGGAAGGGGACATTCGATCTGTATCCGCTCCTGTTCACAACGGGATCTCGCGAAAATAATCTCTTTAGAAAATGCAAATGAAGATTGATGGTTTGACGTTCGAAATAGCTCCGTCGGTAACCCTGGATGGACAGACATACATTTTGACAGTTGACCTTGTTATTCTGGTCACCTAGATTGTGGTGTTGCCAGCTCATCGGACGACATTACTACCTCTGCTATTTTGCTGGAATGTGATCGACGAACAAAAAAACTGGACCGATGAGGTTCGATTAGGACGGATTTTTTTTTAATTTATTAATAAATTGCAACACCATAGCTATGTTTTTTAAATCACTGATTTAAAAGAACTAGAAAATTTATGAACTATTGAAAACTTTCATCTTTCCTAATAACCTCTACATTATATAACACGTACCGGCCGTCTGACACTCTACAGTGGCATGTGAAGTGTGACATTAAAATTATTGACCTGCTATCGAACGTTTCGTTCTTGTGATGTGCGTTGCCTACCAAGTAGGAAGTTCCGCAAACAAGTACGTCGGGGTATGTTTTGTTATCCGATGAAGTTCAGAGTTATTTTCAATATTAATAAAAGTTATTGTGGAAGGAGTGTGATTTGGATGCTATCCTACCACTGAGCTAGGTATTACGAAGGAACTTTCAAAACTTGAGGAAAGATGATTTGAAGCGAACTTATTTTAATTTTGATTATAGATAGTGAAAATTTATATAATTAGAGCGATTATTGAGAAAGATCGATGTTGGGAGAGAAATGGTGCTTTTCCAATTTTTCGCTGTTCAACAAGTATGCATAAATGACGCTAAGTAGTAGATACACATGCCCATACATCGGGATACGGATGTAACCTGAGGAAACGAAGATGGAGAGGGAAAAAAATTACACACGAAGTCCACAACAAGAGCCAACCTACACATTGTAGTGTAAAGTGGCTAGAAGACCTCGAATTTTCAAGGCGACATCCTAACCACAACCACACCGCCGCTTATAGCCACTTGAAGTGGTACTTCAAGCCAAAAGGATCTACAAAGAGAAAATTATCCCTC